GATATTAACTGGCAATGAGCAAACTGGAATTCAAAAGGACAATCATATCTTTTAAACATTTACTAAAAACAAATATAAAAAAATAGCCTGACTCGCCAGAATACAATTTTACAATTTGAGACCAAGTCAACTTCATCTCCCCCTACTCCACACTGTTCTACATTGGTTAGAACAGAGAGAGAAAGCAAGAACCAGAAGGGGTCCATTTCCTGATGCTGCTACTTCCACGAAAGAACACAGTGATGCCAACACTTTAGGATGAAGTTCAGAAAGGACTTTTTAATTTTATTTTATGTGTGGGGATGTTAGCTTGCCTGCATGTCTGTGTACCATAAGCATACAGTGCTTGCGGAAGCCGGAAGAGAGCATCATAGTCCCTAGAACTGAAGTTATGGATGGCTGTGAGCCCCAATGTGGGTATGGGAATAGAACATGGGTCCTCTCTAAGAGCAGCCAGTGCTCTTCACCACTGAGCTATCTCTCTGGTCCCCAGGCACGAATTATTTAAGGGGAACTTGTAGAAAAGAAGAACGAGCTTTCTTCATCTTCACCCTGCGCATCTGTCTTCCTTGAGTTGTGAGACCCCCCCCAGGCCCACTCCCTCTCATTATCTCCTGCTCTTCAGTCTCTGCTCTATGTCGTAAGAATTCTCAACTTCCCAGCTAACCTCACTCGCTCTCTTGTTTTTACATATTCATGAGACATACATACAAACAAATATTTCTAGACCTGCTGAACTGGTTGACACAGGAATCCCAAGCTCTTTCTGACACAGAGTACTTATAGAAGCCTAGCCAATAGTCTCCGTGTCTGAGAAAAACAGACTTAATTCACACCCCTGCATTCTCTCTGTACAAGATGGCATACCCCTTCCTCCAGGAACTAGTTCCCAGCCCCGTTTTGTATGAACATCCCCAGCAAGAGGACTCCTTCCATGGACGACTTGGCCCAGGGGTTCATGAATGCTAACACCACTCCAGCTCCACACCAACCACTGCCAAGATCAAGACTGTGAAAACAGTCTGTAACACTCATTTATCCTCCACTGTAAAAATGGCTACAAGTAAAACACATCCAAAGTACAGAACTGGGATTACACATGGTAGGAGCACAGTGCCACTCCAAGGCACAAGCAGAAACTCAAAGCAGACCGGAAGTTTCAGCAGACGCCATCCTGGGCTTGTGTATTTTCAGCCAGACAAGGCATCCATGGGCCTGTGACTCAGGGCAAATATACAGCGGGAGGATGGTTAGGCACCAGCAGGGAGAGGAAGGTGGTATTTGTAGTTTCTGATGAGTCCCAAAGAAATAAAAGAGCCTGTTTAAGCACTACTTACTGCCTGGTGGATGTGCGCCTTCACTTGCTCACTCAACATGCCTTCAAAGACAAAGGAGTCGCCAAACTTCTCTGCCTGTAAGGAGAGTAGCCAGAAAAGGTTAGAGTCACAGGCTTCAAGGGTGCCATTTTTTTTTTCTCACAGTGCTACTATGGTGATTTTTCCCATCCAAGTGGACTCAGGTTTTCCCTATGACTTCCCCAACTACTCAGAAATGACTTGAAAGCATCCAATTTCCTCTTAAAACAGGTTCATGTCATTCATGAGACTGCTTTCATATGAGACCTGATTAGCAGATAAGACTGCAAGCTAGAAGAGATTGGATTCTGAGAAGATGATGCCCTGCAGAAGAAACACATTTCTCCGGATATTTACATATGTGATATTGCATAAGCAAGCCGTTTGTCCTCTGCCCTGCTCCTAGGATCTACCTAAAAGAACTAAATGGCACTGCTTGCTGATTCACTGACACAGTCCATGAGTTTACAAGGGACCAAGCTAAGCATCAGATGGAAATTTGTATTTGAATCACTTTTTGACGGTACTGTCACAAATTGTCATCAATATCTGCTCTGGAAGTGGGACCCTTTGACCTCTAGGACCTGTGGTTCCACTGCTCTAGTCTTCCTCCTACATTGCCAACTGCTCTGACACATCCATGAAACATGAGGACTCACCTTACTGGGGCTCCCCAGAGCTCTGCGCCTGCCTGTGTGAACAACTTCGACTAGGCCAGCAGCTCCCCAGCTTGTGCAGTGGGGCTCACACAGGCAGCTTGTTCAAACTCAGACTGCTGCTCTCCAGCCCCAGAGCCTCTAATGATGGGGGCTGAAAGGAGGCCAGAACAAGCTGCCCCTGTTAAATCTGGGGGTTCTAGCACAGCGAGCTCAGGAGAAATGCAATGACTGACTGTGGACAGCCCCCCTAGTCTCCTCATTTTACATGACCAGTTCTTGGAATACCCCTAGTCTTCCCCGCTAGGCCTGGCCTATTCTCACCAGGTGAGGCTAACTGAGTCCTAATCCCTGTACATCAGGCCTTACAAGAGGCCACAGCCTATTTTTATTGACTAGACTTGAATGTTTTCTTCACCTCTGACAGAATTCATAAGATTGTAGCAATACCGTGATGCCTAACAACCCAGGCCACTCATTCATTCAACATACACACCTACTGTCACATGCCTGGTCTAGGGCGAAATCAGGGATTACAGTCATCAGTAGTTCATAGGCATGGACTCTGTCCTTTTTGACATTTTTTACCAGCATATATTAATTATATGTAATATAGGATTGATTTTATTATGACATTTTCATACATGTAGAGAAAACACTTTGATTATATGCACTCATTATCCTCTCTTGGTCTTTTCCTACTTTCTATAACCATCTTCTTCTTCCCAAGTAGAGCCCTTTCTCCACTCCCCTCCCATGTGGTGGTGGGGGGAGGAGTATGTGTATTCTGATGAGTTTAATTATGGTTGCTTACAGGAACATGGGTAAGGGGTTATTTACAGGAGCATAGGCACTTGTCCATGGCTATACCATTGAAGAAAATGGCTCTCCCTCCCCCAGCAACCATTAACTGACTATAAATCCCCAGGAAGGGATGGTCTCTGTTCTTAAGGGACTTCAATGTGAGGGCAAAGAGAAAAATCAAGCTGAAAAAATCATAAAAGTCATTACTACTTAATTTTGCTTTATAAAGTAAAACCACTAATAACGGCCTCCTGGCAGAGTAGAAGGCTCTGAAGAAAGGGACGATCCAGCCAAGCGGACTGACGCAGCAGGAAGCCATGCAGGAAGAGACAAGCAGGGCGCTCCAGTTCCAAGCAGAGGGAACTAAAGGCACTCAAGGGGAGGGTGCACCGTCCCCTAGAACAGAAACAGAGCCACTGGTAGACTGTGGTGACAAGTGGGGATACGTACAACCAAGTCAGAGACATTGGGGGAAGTGTGTGAAATGTCACGAGAACAGGAAACACCGTGTCCAAGGCAGGGATTCTCAACTTTGTTGTGCCCTACACCTTCCTGGCAGCATGAAGCTGAGACCTCATCAGAATGAGAGGTTCATAAACTATAACCAATAGGATTACCAAGACAGTTACTTAAAATTAGTGCTGCAATGGTCTGTGTGCTTATATAATAAACATCAAGTCAGGTCTTATAATTCTCATATTTCAAGGTGGGGATGAATGCAAACAGCATTTCAACAGCAACAATGTGATGAACAAAGTCTGGCTGTGACTTTTCTTGGTGATAAAGTCCTCTGTGTGCTATTATCATGGCTTGCGGTCTATGTTTTAAGTGAAAGTAAAGATTCTAAGTATGGAGATGCAGTATTTCTCATCCAGCCTGGCCAGCCTGGTCTATAGAGAAAAAACAAAATTACACAGAGAAACCCTGTCTCAAAAAAAAAAATAATAATAAAATAAAAAATAAAAACAGTAATATAGAGAAGCCATTGAAGAAGATATCCCAATATTAACTTCTGGCTTCTGTACATACCCCCATGGGAGAATGCACCCACATCCTCATGTACATACATACATATACACACACATGCACACACACAATTTTTCTAATAGAGTATGAATTGAGCTGAGAATATGAAACAAAAGGAATAGAAACTTTTGCTTACTACAAATATCTATAAACAAGATTTACAACCACTTCGTATATTTTAGGAAATTCCAAAGAAATGAGACAGTGCAGAACTGAACCCAAATGTTGTTTTGCTTTTGGCATTCATCCAAATGAATTTTTTTATCTAAAAAAAAAAAAAAGCTTAAAGTAGGGACTCCACAAACTGAATAAAAAGGCAAAGGTTTTTTTTTTATGAGATTTTAAAAAGGACAGGACTTAGGAAGACGTACATTTGATATTCTCACCAAAACAGTCATAAACTAGAAGATCAACACCCCAGTTCCCATTTGGGACAAACATTCTCTTGCCTTGCACTGTGATTCAGTGACCCCTGGAAAATGCCTAAAACTGCCCCCCAGAAAAGAGCTTTGAGTCACTGAGATACTAAAATAAAGCCATGACAATGAAAAGCTGCACTTAGACACTTGACCACTTATGAAATGTGTGTGCTTGTGGGACCGACAGTCTGTGATGCATTGAGAAGAATTACAGGCCAGCTGTGTTCTCAGAAGGCCTAGTGAGCAGCAGCCTCTCCAGTGGATTAAAATGGATTAAAACGCTGTACCACAATACAGCATGTTATACATACAGGGTTAGCAACACAGGTTCTGTGGTCCACAATGCCCACACCTGATTACAATCATTGACCAGGAGTGTGATTAGGATGAATCAGTTTTGATTCTCAGCTTGTTACATCATGGAGCTGCTGTGAGAAATTAGATGAAAGACAGACAGGAAGTGTTTGTCACAGTGCCGGGCACAAAGGAAAAGCATTCAGAGTTCAGTTTTGTTTGTAGCTATAGAACCCTTCTTGAACGTTCTGGATAATGGCAAGTTCTCCCTCGCATCCTCAAGCCCATTCAATTACCTCTGTCAAATAGCCAGTTGAGTTCACGAACTTCTCAAAATCAGCATTACTGACTTCATAGGCATCCATGTAAAAGGCATCAACAGTGACTCTCCTGGCAGGGGCTTCTCCATCCTGCTTGATCTGAGGATCATCGGTGCCCATTGTAAATACTCCAGCAGGGATGGGGACCATCTGCAGTCAAAGGGGGAACACAGGGCATCACGCATCAAAAGCAAAGTGTATCTGTGTAGACTGTAAAGTTCTCAGCACACATCAAGCACCCAGTGCTTAAAACCCCACCACAGAAATCTCTGCAAAACCAGTCAAATCAAGGGCTCGGGGATATGGCTCTAGGGGGGGGAGTGCCTGCTGCACAAACACAGGGACCTGAGTTTGGAAGCCCAGCAGCCCCATCAAAGTTGGACATGGTGGCTCAGATCTGTAACCCCAGTGGTGGGGGTAACAGGGTCAGAGACAGGAGGATCACAGGGGCTCAAGTCAGCAAGGCTGGCTGAATCAGCGATCTCCAGGTTCAGTGAAAGACTCTACCTCAAAAACAAAGCAGAGAAGCAATTTAGAAAGACATCTAATGTCAACCTCTGGCCTCCACATGTGCATGTATTTATGAGTGTATACACACACACACACACACACACACACACACACACACACACACACACACTACTCCATACATCAATGATAGTGAATTACAAGTCATAGAAAGGAGGGAAATTTTTTATTTTTTTTTTGGAAAGTGATCTTTCTAGTTGAACCTCATAACAGATTTGTACATGCAAGGTAGACAGTTCTAGAAAAACTGAGGCTAACAATGAACTATGGGGTAAGGGAAATACTGAACTCCTTTTTCTTTTTTCTTTTCTTTTTTTAGGTTTATGCCTTTTTAATATATGTGTAGGTGTCTGTGTCTCTGTGCCTATGTGTGTATGTTTCTGTGTGGGGGCACTTGTCGGGACCAGAAGAGGGTGCTGGATCCCTTGGAGCTGGAATTACAGGTCGTTGTGAGCAAAGCAGCCCACCTGTCATTCCAAGCCCCAGAGAATGCTTGCTAGTAAGACTAGACATATCAGAGAGTTCTGAGTTTGACTAAGATGCTCAGCCAGCATCAATGAATGCAGTGGGAGAGCAATAATGTTGATTCTTAACATCAACCTCTGGCCTCCATACAACATGAACATGCATTCACACAATGTAAAAATGAATACCTAGATACGCACAACACACACATACATTAAAGTTTAAAAACAATAAAATATCCAAAACAGAACAATCCAAAGAAAGTAGGTCTATGGTAGCCAGAGGCTATGAGGTGGCAAGAATGGGGAATGAATGTTTAATGGATGTGGTGTGTCCTCTGGAGATACTAAAGTACTCTGGACTAAGATAGAAATAATAGTTTTGACTTCACTGAAAAATAAAATCACTGAGTTACATACTTCAAGAGAATGAATTATATATGAGTTATAGCTTAATTAAAAATAGGCCCTCCGTTGGGCAGTAGTGGCGCAAGCCATTAATCCCAGCACTCGGGAGGCAGAAACAGGAGGATCTCTGAGTTCAAAGCCAGCCTAGTCTACAAAGTAAGTTCCAGGACAGCCAGGGATACAGAGAGAAACCCTGTCTTGAAATAGATAAATAGATAAATAAATAAATAAATAAATAAATAAATAAATAAATACATACATACATACATACATACATATGCTTCAACTAGACCATCTGTCAGAGCACTCTCTATAGACATAAGGTATAGCTTTAAAATTATGAGAACAAAAAGTAAATTTAGTCCTCCCAGATCTCATGAACTGTCAAGTATCTGTCCTAGAAACAAGAGTTCAAGTCAAAGAGAAAATAAACTCAAAGAGGTTATTAGTTGGAGAGGGAGCACTTCACAATAAGCACAGGAGAGTTGGAAGAACACGTTGAAATAGAGGTCAAGAGTCCGAGCATTACAGATTCGCTCAGCCACAGGTTACTTCTTCAATCACATGCAGATATTTTCCAGTCACAATAGTGCTTTTTTTTTTTTTTAATTTATATGTACGAGTGTTTTGCCTGCATGTATGTCTGGGTACCACACCACATGCACGAAGTGCCAGGGCCAGAAGAGGGTGTCAGGTCCTCTGGAACAGGGTTGTCAGCAGGCATGTGGCTGCATGGTGTCCTCTGCAAGAACAGCAAGTGCTCTTAACCACTGAGCCTTCTCGAAACTTCTGGTACTGTTTTCAGCTGATTTGTATCAAATGTGATATTTATCTAGAGTATCAATCCTGTTCCAAGAAATAAACCTTGACTTCCTCTATTTCTAAATCCCAACATCCATAGGTCACCTAGCCTGGCTGGTCCTCCTTATACACCCATCTCTTCCCAGTATCCCCCTCTTCTCCATTGCCAGACAACTTCAGTACCTCACTGGAGGTCCCCTGGATCCAGTCTCACCCATTTATCGCACCCATTCACTTATCAAGAATTTAGATCCCAGTTGAGCTTTCTGAAAATGCCAGTATTCTATATCCAACACAGCACCACAGCTCAGTCACAGAGAAAAACAGGGAAAACGAAAACAAAAAAACTAAATCATCAGCAGTGTGTTGTTGAAGCTTATGGTAGGCCATGCAGAAACAGAAAGCAAAGCAGACCTAAGAAGTAAAAGAGGAACCGTTTAATATGGTGGCATGGAGCAGTCTCACCAGTACAGAAATATGGGAGGAAGTCGCGGTGCACACAGAGGATGGGATGTTGCCCCGTGTGTGAGAGAGAGGATGTTAGGTACAGGTGACTTCAGGATTGTGGATTTCACTCTACACCCAATTCTTTTTAAATTTTGGAACCATATAAACATAAGATCTATTAATAATTCACGGTGGCCCACACCTTTAATTCCAGCACTTGGGAGGTAGAGGCATATAGCTGTCTGTGAATTCAAGACCAGCTGGGTCTATACAGCAAGTTTCAGCAAGGCCAGAGCTACATAGTGAGACCTTGTCTCCAAATAAATACATAAAGAAACTAATTAATCAACAAATTGAAGTGTCAGCCTGATCAAATCTACTTTCCTATTTAAAATTGTGCAGGAATTCCTATCACATTTTAGGGTGCAATTTCAAAAACATCAGAATCTAATACGTATCGCCCCTTACTTGTACTCAATGCACAAGTACCATAAGTCACCTTGTCTCTTTATTAATTATGTCACTGTTCCAAGAACTGCCTCCTCCTCAGGCCTCTCTTACCTCACATCCCTCCCTTAGCTGTGTTACAGCACCTCACTCTGCTTCCTCTCATGCATCTCTATCTATTGTAGCATCTCCTCTCTCTTCTCTCTGACTCACACACAAATCATCTTAGGTCTTAATGTTTTCTTTTTTAATGTTTTATTTATGTGTATGATTGTGTGTACATTTGTGTGGGGGATGTGTGTGTGTCTGTGTGTGTCTGTGTGTCTGTGTGTGTAGGTGGGCACACACATGTAGATGTGCTTGTGGAAATCAAAGAACCACCTTGGGTGTCATCTTTATTAACACAATTCAACTCCATTAAGAAAAGGCCTCTCATTACCCTGGAGCTCACCAGTTTGGCTAGACCGGCCGGTCAGCAAGCCTCGGGCCTCTTACTGTCTGTCTCCCGGTGCTGGAACCAAAGCACATGTCACCACACCCTGCTCTGTATGCGGGCAATGGGGATCAAACCATAGAACCACGCTTGCAGGGCAAGTGCTTTACCAGCTGAGCATCTTTACAGCCTCTTCGGTTACATAGTTTCTCCTTCCTGGTATCTTAGGCTTCTTATGAACCCCAAACAAACTTCATCTCTAAACCTCCAGCACATCACAGAGCACAAGATCCACAGTCAAGGTGCAAATGATCTTCACAGACTGAACACGTAAGACCACGAATATGAGGAGTAAGTTACTATTTGAATTATTCATAGGCAAAATGACCAAAAGTCCATGTTATTTATAAGACAGTCTCAGCCATGAGCTACATAATGACACCTGTAATAGCCTTGGCTCAGGAACTGAGTTGGATTTTCCCATTATTCTTAATACTCTATAACACCTGGGGCACAGACTCTACAGTCCTTACGAGCAAAGTGGGATTTTAAAAAACACCTCTGCAAAGAAGTAAAAAAAAAAAAAGATTTTGAACAAAAGTTTCAGGAGTAGTCTTAAAAGAGGAGCTGAAAACATGGCTCTGCAGTTAAGAGCACGCACTGCTCTCAGGAGATCAGAGTTCAATTCCCAGCCCCCCCCCCCCCCCCCGCCACATCAGGTGGCTCACAACCTGTAACTCCAGCTTCAGGGGATCTAATACCCTCTTCCTGGCCTCCTGTTGTGTTGCGGTTTCCTCCTAGATTAAAACCTTCCATCTTGGAAGGAGGCTCCTTACAATACAGGATGCTTACAGAGAGGAGTTGAAGCATTCCTTCCTGCAAGGAAACTCATTAAGCCCAGGAAGCAAAAAAAGTTGATGGAAGTCCCTGAAACTAACCAGATTCACAAGGTCCCTCTCTCCCTTGCATATTTAAGCAGGAAGAATCACGAAGAGATACTCTCAGACTAGCTGAACTGCCTGGAAGGGGCAGAGACCAGCTGACGCTCTCCAAGCTCTTGAGCTACCTGCAGGCTGTGCAGTGTGCTCCAGGTTCCCAGCTTTTGGGAGCTGTCACCCATGCTGGGGTGGACTTTGGTGATGCAGCTGTCTGTGAGTCATTTCTGCTCCTCTAAATAACCCCTGACCCATGTTCCTATGAATAAGCCTACGTTGGAATTTGGTGGCATCCTTGCTTTGAGGTGCCATCAGTTCTCTATCTAGGGTGAGTAGACATTTGTTTATGTCCCCCTGGGAACAGTGTCACACAGCACTTCCATGGGTACTTGCACTCACATGCACATAATTTAAAATAATGTCAAAATAGTCTTAAAATAAGTCTTGTTTTGTTTTGTTTGTTTTTGGGGGGGGTTTTTTTTGTTTGTTTGTTTGTTTTTTCCAAGACAGGGTTTCTATGTGTTGTTTTGGTGCCTGTCCTGGATCTCACTCTGTAGACCAGACTGGCCTTGAACTCACAGAAATCCACCTGGCTCTGCCTCCTGAGTGCTTGGATCAAAGGTGTGCACCACCACCACCGACTAAAATGAGTCTTAAGATCCCATAAAGGTTTCATAAAGAGCCATATTTGATGCTGTTATCACAGTACTTGAAAAGGCAAAAGTATCATGAATTCAAGGCAAAGCCTAGGCTACACAGTCACCTTCCCCCCCAACAAGAAAAGGTTTCATAAAGGAGTAACAGAAAGTGGGGAAAGGGGGAAAAAATCAAGTCCACAGAAGACAAGGTCTTACTATGAGGATAGCTTCACGTCCTTCAGCTCAAAGCCACAGCCCAAGGAAGCTGTGCCGGCACACTGTACCCAACAGACTTCTGAAATTACTAATTATTTCTCAAACTCTTCTCCCCCAAGGTGAATACCAGCAATGCTAACACCGTCACAGCTTGCACTGTGGACTCCTGGCCTAATTTCTTTTCCCTCTTTGATTAACCAACGAAGATAGCGAGTACTGAATAGGCCAGGTTTCCTTTCTGAAGAATACAGATAAAAATAGCTCTAGACTGCTCTAAGTAGATCATAATTTCTAACTTATACTAATCAGGCTTTTCATCCTACAAATGTAAAATGCCCATTCTAGTGAAATTCCATACATCCAGGTATTTCACTCTTCAGGACCTGAGGACTAAATTAAAGGAGTCCAACAATCCATTCTTCCCATTCACCACATCTTCTGCCACTGCCACTCAAGACAGACCTATAGGGGCTAGAGCGACAGTTCAGAGTATGCGGCCACTTATTGTACAAGCCTGGAAACCTGAATACGATCCCCAGAACCCATGTAAAGGTAGATAGAGAGAGGTGACTCCTTAAAGTTGTCCCTTGACCTTCATGGGACACATGCACATGCACAAACACACACACACACACACACACACACACAAACACACACAATAAACATTTTCTTAAAGACTGAAGCATAAGGTAGTGAAGAATCACTCCATTATCACAGAACTATGCTTAGGCTGCACACCACTATGAAGGGCCGTGAGCAGCTGCTAGTGTGGCCTACCCAGCATCTATTCCTCTACATGCAGAAGCATCCAAAGTCTCCTTTGAAAAATCCCTTCTCAAAACCTCACACATAAACATGTGTGCCCCAATGTGAAGATGGGTGACTCAACTACACAAAGGCCTGTGTTCTGCATGCATGATCTGTCGTGATCCATGACAGCCATGCTTTGGGTCTCTAATGGGTGAGTTTATTAGGCAAACAGCAAGCTTGTAGAGCATCAGATCAGCAGAGACTGACTGGGGTAGTCCAAGGCACCAAAGAGCCAGCTGGAGCCTATGATCCACAAAAAAGGACCCAAGGCAGAACGACTTCTCCTGGGCGAGCCTTCCCATTAGCCATTCCCTCCACAGGCTTTGTTGTATCACGAGATAAATAGTAGCTTGAGTCTCCGTTTTGGAAAACAGACCGCAGGTGAGTTTCTCAGCAGTGTTTAGGGATACAATTTTCATCCATCCTGCGATAAAGGATCTTAAAGGACACTTTTGAGATAAGCAATTTAGTAATTGTATATATTACAACCTAGCCAATCCTACCTTTATTCTGAGCACAGAGATTCAACTAGGAACAGGACCATGGCTCAAAGCTCACTTTTCCTGAACCTACCAAAAACGAACTTTTCCTCTTCCAACTGGTTTGGGAGACAGGATGTTATCTAGAAACAGAGCCTAACTAAAATAAGATAATCCAAGGGACAGTCAGTGATGGTCCTGGAGATGCTGCCTGATGCCCTGAATCCAGCTGTGTACACAGCCATGTCCATTCTTGAACTTCCCCAGTATAGAAAATCCATAACTCTCTCCTTCCTCACTTTAAGCTACTGTAAGAATTGTTTTGTGCATAAAAATGAAATAAACTCATATACAACTCTTTTGGAAAGCTCTTTTTCCATTTCCTTCATTCCACTTTTTAAACTTAAAAGGCTCAGGCAAAAGAAATTGATATGTCAACAGCTATGTTGGCTACGTAACAACTATGTAGCCATACCATACACAGACATTACTCATAGGAGGAATGGCACCCTGATTTCATCCAGCACTGAGATTAGATTTATGATGATTCAGTTGCCTCACCTATGAACTAGAAGACAATACACTGCACAGGATTCTTGGGAGGGTGGCTACAGTAGAAATATATGTTTACAAAGGCTTCTTTGAAAAGTACCTGACAGCTTTTACCTCCCAAAGTAGCTTCTCAATATTGTACCTACCAAAAAAGACAAAACATCACTCAAGGGATTGTTACAAAATACCTAAAATAGGTTAGGCCCTGGGGGTAGGGTAGTCCATAGAGAATAAAACAGGTCTAAACCTGTTTCCATCATCAAGTAAGTAACGGGAAAACAACACTACAATAAGTAAAACAGACAAGTCGCCACTGGGCACCACCACCCCCAAAAAATGATACGAGCATTTATAGAATAGGAAAAAGTAGTCATAGGTCTAAGTGCCACCATCCCAACAGCTTGGCTGGAACAGGAAATCTGCAGACAAGCATCTTTAGTTGTTGCAATGCCAACTACCACTGTGTCAATCTATGGAAATATTGAGGGCAGGGGAAGAAAGGGTCAGGCAAGACCCACATAGAATGTTATCCCCTCATCAAGTCCTGAACATTAGTGCCAATTAACATAGAGAAAAGAAAAGTGAGGTGGGAAACAAGGATGGACTGTATAGGAATACAGAAAAAGGAGTGTTATTCTGAGGACCTGGGGTGAATTCCCTTAAGTTTATTCCACAAATGCACACATAGACAAGCAGCTAGCAGGAAGAATGAAGAACCATTTCTTTATTCACTGTTTTCATCTGTATATGCCAACATCTAACACACCTAGGCACTGTGCAAAAGACATAAATAAAGGCAATAAAGCAAGTACACTTGGCCTGGTCCTTCCTTGGGCTCAAGCGTAAGCACACAGGATAAATTACACAAGCCTGCCCTCATCAAACAGATGCCACCGAAATAGACTGCAGGTGAGTTTAAGGCAGGGCTGGAGACTCAGTCTCCCCAGGAACTAAAACAAAACTCAACTAGAACCAACTGAGAACTTAAATCCGAATCCATCCAACTTTAAATTCTTAGCTCTTCACCAGGAGAGCAGGGTTGAGGAAGGGAGAAGTGGGCAAGAAGACATAAAAAATAATGGACAACACTCTTCGAGCTAAACTCTTTAAACTTCAGTAATAAAAAACACTGCCACAAAACCCAGCCCACCTCCCGGTGGGGAGGAGCAGGAAGCGGGGGGGGGGGGCGGGGGGGGGCGGGAGGGACCTCCTGTCAAATGGGATCATGAGCTGAGTGACTTGGGGTGTGGTTAGACCCTTACCAGGCCTCCCTGATCACCCCTAGCCTGGCTCCTCCCGGCCTCGTGCCCGAGACCGGCGGCACCCACAAGCCCCAGAAAGAATGGAAGGCGCACCTTGGTGAGTGCGAGCGGTCGCGGGCCCGAGGCCAGGCCCGGGGCGTTCGACTCCCGGGAGTAGAGCTGCGCGGCCGCTGGGCTGCCGTGGGCCCCGGGCCGCTGGGGCGATCCGCATCCGCACGAGCCCGCGAGGGACGCCGTGCCTTCCCCAGCCCCGGCCTCTTCGCTCTCTGCCGCCCCGAACGCCAGCACCAGCAGCCAGAAGACGCGAGGCAGCCCGGTGCAGCAGCCGAGAGCGGGCCCTCGCGCGGGCGCAGCCATGTTGTTCCGCGAGTCATGTGATCCCGTGGATCTCGTGACCTGCCCACTTCAAGAAGTGGTTTTTGGCTGATTTAAGGAGCAGGCTGAGAATGCTCCCAGGTGAATCTGGGACTCTTCAGCTAATGTTAAAAGTATGCAAAACACAACAAAACCCGACGACATTCAAGGCCTTCCGCAGACAATGCAGCCCTCTCTACTTTCCTGGTGGAAAAATATTTAAATTTATGCAATATTTGTTAAGCACCAGCACTATATTAAATAAGCACTTCATTAAACAACAATTTTGTTAAGCACCAGTACTGTATTAAATAAGCACTTCATTCAACAACAACAACAAAAAGACTTATTTAATCCTCAGAGTGATTCTGCAATATTGGGTTGACAGAAAAATTAAGTGACCTGCCCAAATCATGTAAAAACTAAGTTCTAAACCCAAAGAATGGAATCATAAACCCTGAATTTTAATTATTATAAGCAATTCAGTAAATGGACCCAAAAAGGAAAATGAACATGGTGAAGGACACCACTTTTCAAAGTTTGGACCTCACCAACAGCAAGAGCATCACCTGGTAATTTACTAGAAATGCAACACTTTATCAGAATCTATGGAAATAGGACACAGAAATCTGTAGTCTCCCCTCTCCCTCTCCCCCTCCCCCTCCCCCTCCCCCTCCCCCTCCCCCTTCCCCCCTCTCCGGGGGTGGGGTGGGGTGGGGTTCCAGGTGTGTGCCAAGGCCAGAAGAGGACATCAAGTGTTCTGCCCTACCACTCTGTGCTTTTGAGACAGCATCTTTACCAAACTTGGAGCTAAACTGGAAACCAGGACACCCAGATGATCCTCCGGTCTCTATCTCGTCTCAACGCAATGGCATTTCAGGCTCAGGCAGGACCCTAGCGCATGCAGGACATTGCCCAGCTCTCTCTTTTCACCCTTCTACTGCTTATTTTAAAGGCACTGTGTATGTCCTGACTAACCTGAAACTTACTGTGTAGACAAGCTGGACGCAAACTTCTGAAATCCTTATTCCGTTGCCCCCAAGTGATGGGATTACTACTCACCGTGCCCAATTGAACCTTGTGGCTTAACAGGTTCTTTAATATTTGAAGGTGTCCATGAGGTTTTGTAGTTTGTTTTGACAAAGTCATGCTACATAGTCCAGGACGGCTTTGAACTCCTGATCCTGCTGCCTCAGCCTGCAGAGGGTTGGTATTACAAACCTGTGCAACCATACCTAGCTCATATTAAAGTTTAGTAGTGATTATTCTACAGTTCCATCAGCAAATAGATTGTAAGACAAAAACAAAAGTGAGATGAAAGGTGGAATCCTCAGATTCTTAGACTAGACACAACAATGGTCTGAGGTGATGGTAACTGCTCTTGCTATAAGATATTCTACAGGTTGATGCCAGAGTCAGTGAAGCCTAAGAGCTTGATACCAACCTGGAAAAAAAAAAAAAGAGCCAGAGGTATAGTATTATACTAATAAAATCCAATGCTTGAGCCTGCTGTGGATTATGCTCATTGTTAATAAAAAAAAAAAACTGATTGACCAATAGCAGGGCAAGAAGAGATTGGGCGAGACAGCATGACTCAGAGAGAATGATGGGAAGACAAAGGGTGAAGTCAGGAGAGTCTGGGAAGACATCAGCCAGCCGCCACTGGGCAAGCAGGATGTGTAGAAAATGAGGTAACAAGCCATGAGCCACATGGCAGAGCATAAATAGAAGTATGGGTTAATTTAAGGGTAAGAGTTAGCTATCAGCCTGAACTATCAGAAAGCATTTATAATTCACATTCAGCCTTTGAGTGTGTTTATTTGGGAGCAGGCAGTCAGGACAGTAAAACTCCGCCTACATGATGAGCCTTATATAAACAACAATGAGATATATTTTTAATTATTTATTTATTTTTATGTGTCTGTTTTGCCTGAATGTATGATTGTGCACCATGTGTGGACAGGGCCTGTGGAAGCCAAAAGAAGAAATCATATCCCCTGGAACTAGAGTCACAGATAATTGTGAGCTACCATGTGGGTGCTGGGAATCAAACTTAGGTCCTCTAGAAGACCAACAAGTACTCTTAACCACTGAGACATCTCTCCAGACCCTGCTTCTGGGTTGTTAGAAGTGATAATGGTATTTGTGACTGTTTGGGTTTTTACTGTCTTTTTTAAAAGAATTAATTTATTTGAGAGCTAGAAAGATGGCGCAGTTGTTCCGATCACTGTCTCCCCTTCCAATGGATTGGGGTTCAGTTTCCTGCATCCACATGTCAGCTTGCAACCATCCGTAACTCCAGTTACAAAGGACCTAGTGCCTCTGAGGGTACCAGCCATACACATGGAACAGACTTTACACTGAGGCAGACAAAACTCTCATGTATTAATGAGACAGTTGTGTAGCTTGATCTGCTTAAGGGAGCCCCTGGCAGTAGGATCAGAATCCATCCCCTGTGCATGAGCAGGCTTTTTGGAGCCCACTACCTATGATGGGACACCTCGTACAGCCTTGAGGCGGAGGGGGGGGGGGTTGGACTTGCCTCTATTAAATGTACCTCCCCAGGGGAGGCCTTACCTTCTTGGAGGGAATGGGCGGGTGGGTTGGGAGGGGGAGGCTGGAGAGGCAAGAGGAGAGAAGAAGGGGCTCTTTGGTATGTAAAATGAATAAAAAAATTCTTAATCAAAAAAACTCTCATGCAATATGAAATAAAAATTTATTT